GAAAGAGGGAGAGAGAAAAGGGGAAGGGTGGGGTCAAATTAAAAAATTTAAATTTATAAAATTATAATTTGGTCCCAAATGACGTGAAGGTGAGCTAAAAATCGCCTATTGAACCACCGATGAAAGAATATTGAAAGTTCGTGTACTTTTGTGAAAGAAATTAAAGTTTATATACCGAAGTAAAATAATGATAAAAGTTCGTATACCATGGGTGAAATTTACTCTGATATTGACTCCATGCTTTTTAAATAAAGTATCGATAAGACTCTTTTAGTATTTTCTCTATAATTATTACACTTAGTTTAATTTTTTTGGTAAATAGATCTATTCTACATTTTTTGCCATATTTATAACTCAATGTGACTATTTATAAAAATACACAAGTATTAGTACCTACGGAGTAATTTTTTTGAGTAAGTTAAAGAACGTCTCCAATGAAATATTTTTTTAAAGGATGTATGATTAAAAATTAAAATATTTAATTTTAACTTTACTTAACCTTCGTGCTTAGTCAAACTGAAAAGGAAATTTTTAGACGGAGAAAGTATTACAATTTGTATTTCGTTCAAACTTTTACAGAGATGAATATTTGTTTCATTTATCCTACACAAGATATTCAATTTGTTAAAAAAATAATAAATTTGTTCAAAAATATTTGATTACTTTAAATTTTTAAACATCTTATATAAACATCTGATTTGTTTATTTAAAAATATGATTTATATTAAACCATTTTTTCATTCTCTTGTAATTATGGAGTATTTCATTCTCTTGTGGTCGATAATTCCGTTTCCCAAATCTGTTAAGGGTCCGTTTGGTATAAAGATTAGTGGAATTAGAATTGAATTAGAATTAAAATTTCATGAGATTCAATACCATAGAATTAAATTCTGTCAGTTCTAATTCATTTTTTGCACTATCAATTCCAACTCCACATAATTTTTGTGCTACCAAACACCAAAATTGAAATTGAAGTCCCCAATTCTAATTCTATAGTTTGAATTCCATGTACCAAACGGGACCTAAGTTTTTTTTCATTAGTTAAAATTTTCTACGTTAATGTGTGACATTCCATTTTTGTTTTCCCATTGCCAATGCTTTAAAGACAGAAATATAAGCATTCATTTCATTTCTAAGTAATTGGGTAATTGTCTCTTAATTTTTTAGTATTTACAATTTGGACTCATGTTTTTGAATATATATCCATTTTGAAATTAAATCGAATATTGATATATTCCTACTGTGTTGGTTAATGTAACAAATAACAACTACTATGTTTAATTTTATAAAAAAGAAATCAATACAATGAATACCTAACGAATCATAAGCCAACAATAAAATTATTCAGTTTATTTAGAACCTTAGCTGTGGCCCGCGGGTGGGAGGTTAATCACATCTCTATCAATTACATGATTTTAGCACTTAACACTTTATACCACTTTGGAATTAATTTATATCTTTCACAAAAATATTCTCATGTAAACAATCTACATATTATATACTTTTCACATTTCACTCATTTTATTCTCTCTCTCTCTAAATCAATTTATTTTACATTTGTTTATTTTTCATTCTAATAATTAAACAATTACTCGTATATAATTTTACTTTTCTCTCGGAGATAAATTTCAACCATACACTTATTAGTATTAACATACATATTTCACTTTTCATGTTTTCATGCATGAAGTCAAACCCCTTAAATTTATTTAAAGACGGTAAGACGGATGGAAAATTAATTTTTGTCAAAGTTTGTAAATGAAATTTTTAATTTTTATAAGACAAAACTAGTCATACAAAATTCGAGATCACAGTTATGTTATGTAATGAGTCATTTGTGTTCTATCATTTTCGGTCCCATAATTATAGTTTAACATTTAATTTTTTTGAATGAAATCAAATAATGTAAATACTCATAAATAATTTGCTAATATTGAAAAATAAAGGTAAACAAATGGAAATAATATTTGCATTATGCTTTTTACTTCGAATACTTTTTCCGTATAATATCATATAGTTCCTCTTCCTAAAAGATGTTTTCATTTTGACTTTTGGGAAATTTAAAAGAAATATTTTTGCATTGACTTCTAAAAATACCATTGATGTGATGGGTAAAAATAAGATATGATAAGTACATTAATATTAGAAATGTATGATGTGATAGTTATGTTATGAATTATAGGAATTAAAGTGGTTTTTTAATTGAAAGATGTTATGGGACAAAAAAAAGGAAAATGAGTTTATAGGACAAAAGGAGTATATGGTGTATTTTCGAGCATTAATAGCACCGGGCAGTGGCGAGGCAATTGCCCGCCACGCCCTGCCACATCATTCTAAGAGCACTTGTACTGGCGAAGCAATTGCTTGCCACGTCTTGCCACATCATGCTATAAGGTTTTGCGAAGCTTGGCATGACTAGGGGTGGACACGGTACCGGTACGGTACCGTCACCGGCAACGGTACCGCCGGTACCCGCCACCGTCACCGGCAAGGTCGCCGTGTCACCGGTTCCGGGAACCGGTACCGGTACCGCCACTTTCGGTACCGGTTCCGGTACCTATTTTTTGATACCGGTACCGGCGGTACCGGTCCGGTTCCGGTACCGGTATAATTATTTTTTTTTTTTGATTTGAAATGCAAAAAAGTTAAAAAAAAAAGGTGGGGGGCGAAACAATTGCATTCTTTCCTTAAACAATTGCAATTTTTAAACAATTGCAATTTTACAATTGCAATTTTTTATAATTTAAAAATTAAAAAAAAAAATAGGGGGGGGGGGCAAAACCGGCCGGTCCGGTACCGGAACCGCCGGTCCGGGAACCGGAACCGCCGGTCCGGGAACCGGAACCGGTACCGGCCGGCACGGTATACTATCCGGTTACTCGGGGTGGCGGTACCGGAACCGTCCCGGAACCGTACCGTGTCCACCCCTAGGCATGACAACTACAAGACTTCTATCTCTCTCTTTTAATTTTTTTTTGTAAAGAAGATTTTTTTTAAAAAAAAGAATACATCTAAAAGATAAGTAAAATAATTTTTAATAATTAAAATATATTTAAAAGTATAAAAACTGAATAAAATAATGACTTGTCAGTGAAAGAAATGACACTCTACTAACTTGTCACACGCTGAGTGAACCCATTCTGACCTGCTAAAATACTCTCTATAGAAACGTTGAAATTAAATTTTGTAACAGTTGCCAAAGAGCCACCTAATTACCCGTCGAATGAGTCGGTGTAGAAGAAAAGAGCCGCTCGGTTTTGACACAGTAAAAAAAGATTATGAAAAAGTGATGTCATTTGCGGGAAGACCTCTCTGGTATGGTTCCAATGGAAGGGAGAGAAGTAAAAGTGAGACTGCCATGACCATGAGGAGGAGCAGTAAAAAAACGCAGTAAAAGAAAAAACATTGGTCCTTCTCGCAGACGCACGCAGTGGTACAGTTATGGCGTTTTCTTGCTTTTCCTTTTTCTTTTTAAAATTTTATTTCTTTCTCAGATTAGATTAGAAGATTTTTCTTGGAATTCACTTCTCAATCGCCGGAGGAGGGCGGAGATATTTACTTAACTTCGGCGTATTTTTATACTCGTCGGCGAGGGCATCTTTTTTTGGAGTTTCGGCGGCGGCGGGTCAGCCGAAACGCCAACACGGAGTCTCATTTCAGTCAAAATTGGTCAGATATGATTGGCGGCCTCGCTTTGTAAGCGGTGGAAAAGCTGGCGGCGGCTGTTCTTTAGATCTGTGACGATTTGAAGGCGAAGAGTTTGAAGGTGGATGGTTTTCTGGTAGTCCAATTGCTGGAGGAAAGCTAGGGTTTCGCTTTCTGTGCTTTTTTTTGGTCAATTGGAAGGTGGTGGAAGGACCCGGCGGCCCTGAGCTCCTGTTATCAGTTTCTGTGATGATGACCAGAGTTTTGAGAGTAAAATGTGGACCTTGCTAGCTCCTCTTTTCAATGCAAAGATTGCATCTTTAATTTAAGGTGCGCAGATAACATGGATGCAATGGAAAACCTAAGTTTAAATGTTTACACTTCTCAATGATAGAAAACCTAAGTTTTTTTTCTTTTTGCATTTAGGAAGTGCTAACATTAGCTAACCAATACCCATTTGTCCTTTAACTCTCTCAAGATGGTCTCTAAACTGATAATCCTATTTGTGTTTCACAATGAGTGGTCGTTCTAGGAATTTGCACACAGAGTTGGAAACATCATCAAATGATACCCATTCTTGATTACTTAGATTGGTGTTGAGATGAAAAAGGGCAAATGTGGAAATTTGTATTTAATGCTCTATTGATTTCATAGAACAGCAGACATTGTAAGACAACCCTTTGTTGTCACAAACGGTTTAGTATGAACGAGTGTGTGCTGAAACATCATGTTCTTCTGTGCGATTGCTTGAGCCATCCTGTGCTTATGGTTTTTGATTATCATCACTTGGGTTGTAGGGTAATCAAGATTTGATGTCATACAGCCCAAAGATGCAAGTAAAAGCTTCTAATTCGGACGTGCTTAGGGTCAGTGTTTCTAGTGCCCCAAGCACCTCCAGCCACGGTTCGGCTCCAGATGATTATTATGATGCTTTAAGCGATGTGTACATTTGGGGTGAGGTAATATGTGATAACACTGTCAAAGTTGGACCTGAAAAGAATTCTACCACTCTGAACACCAGAACCGATGTTCTTCTACCAAGGCCTTTAGAGTCTCATGTTGTACTTGACGTAAGTCACATAGCCTGTGGGGTAAGGCATGCTGCCCTTGTGACTAGACATGGAGAAGTGTTCACATGGGGTGAAGAATCTGGTGGGCGGCTTGGTCACGGCGTCGGTAAAGATGCCATCCGGCCCCACCTTGTTGAATCTTTATCTTTTCAAGGCATTGAATTGGTTGCTTGTGGTGAATTCCACACATGTGCTGTTACCGCGGATGGGGAACTCTACACATGGGGAGATGGCACACACAATGCCGGCCTTCTTGGTCATGGCTCTGATGTTAGTCACTGGATACCTAAGAGAATTTTGGGTCCTCTTGAGGGGGTTAAAGTTTCAATGGTAGCTTGTGGGCCATGGCATTCTGCCTTAATCACGTCAACTGGACGGCTCTTCACCTTTGGTGATGGAACATTTGGTGTGTTAGGACACAGAGATAGAGAATCCGTTCTGTTCCCAAGAGAGGTATCTTCTCTCTCTGGATTACGAACAATTTCTGTTGCATGTGGTGTTTGGCATACTGCTGCTGTTGTGGAGGTCATTGTCAGTACTCAACCCAGTGCTAGCTTTTCATCTGGAAAGTTGTTTACTTGGGGTGATGGTGATAAACACCGGCTTGGACACGGTGACAAAGATCCCCGTTTGGAACCTACTTGCGTTCCTGCTCTTATTGATCACAATTTTCACAAAATTGCTTGTGGACATTGTCTAACTGTTGGTTTAACCACTTCTGGCCGTGTTTTTACCATGGGAAGTACAGTGTATGGTCAACTTGGAAATCCTAAGTCGGATGGAAAGTTACCATGCTTAGTTGAGGACAAACTAGGTGATGAGGAATGCATTGTTGATGATATTGCATGTGGTTCATACCATGTCGCAGTTTTAACATCAAGAAGCGAAGTTTTTACATGGGGTAAAGGAGCCAATGGAAGGTTAGGCCATGGAGACATAGAGGACCGAAAGACGCCAACTTTGGTTGAGGTTTTAAAGGATAGGGTTGTGAAGTATGTTGCTTGTGGTTCAAGTTACACCGCGGTTATATGTCTTCACAAGTGGATCTCTGTAGCCGAACAATCCCAATGCTCTTCTTGTAGGCAGGCTTTTGGGTTTACAAGGAAGAGACACAACTGCTACAACTGTGGACTATTGTTTTGTCACGCATGCAGTTCAAGAAAAGCACTAAGGGCTGGTTTGGCCCCCAATCCGAAAAAACCGTACCGGGTGTGCGATTCATGCTATACCAAACTGAGTATGGTGGTTAGTATGAGGAGAAGCGTGGGACCACGCCTCTCGGGTGGTGAGAACAAAGACAAACTGGATAAGGATGAGCTACGTTTAGCCAAATCAGGGATGCCTTCAAATCTTGAGCTGATCAAGCAGTTGGATTACAAGGCAGCCAAACAAGGAAAGAAAACCGATATGTTCTCCTTGGGTCCCACGTTTCCAAAACCGGCTTTGACAACATTAACTGGCGGTTCTAGAAGTGTGTCGCCATTCTCACGGAGATCCAGCCCCCCACGTTCAGCAACACCATTACCTACAGTTTCAGGACTTTCGTTCTCCAAAAACATTGTTGATAGTTTGAAGAGGAACAATGAAGTACTTAATCAAGAAATTCACAAGTTGCGTGCACAGGTACTATGACACCTTTTTACCCTTTTTTCTTTCAGCTTTAGGTTCTCTCTCTCTCTCTCAAGATATATATTCCATTTTGGTTGTGACTTTGCAGGTTGAGAATCTCAGGCACCGATGTGAAGTTCAAGAAATGGATCTTCAAAAATCGGCTAAAAAAGCCCAGGAAGCATTGCTTCTTGCTGCAGAGGAATCTGCTAAATGTAAAGCTGCAAAAGAAGTCATAATGTCTCTCACTGCCCAGGTTTGCTCTCTCCCTTACCCTAAAGATTCTTTCTTTCCTTGAAAATTGCATAAAATCGTTTGTGAAAATTTCAAAAATAATTATCATGTTTCAATTTCTCTGCCCTTTTCATGGTAAAACCGAACATAAGGAAATAACTTTTCTCGACATTCATTTTTCCATTCCCTAGAATACTTTTTGTATCCAAGCACCCCCTAAAACTGTGAGACAATTGGTTCCTATGCATTTTTTCCCATCTTCACAGTTCTGTGATTACCTTGATCATTCTGCTTCAAGGGTTTTTTAGTTCATGTTTTTGCTTCACCAGCTCAAAGACATGGCTGAGAGAATGCCACCCGGGACCTACGATGCCGAGACTTTCAAGCTAGCTTACCCACCTAATGGACTCGAACCAAACGGTCTTCACCACAGTGGTGATACAAACGTGGATCCAAATGGGGTTGTGACCTCCAACAAGTCGGAGGATCGCTCCAGTCCTAGATTTCTCAAAGGAAGTGGGGCCCCCACATTCAGAGAGCACGAACCTCTCACTGGAAACCGGGAGCCCGTCCCATCACAGGAGAACACTGCAGGCTCAAAATCAAGAGTGGGGTCCATTCCTCTTGGAAATGATAGCCAAATTGAGGCCGAGTGGATTGAACAATATGAGCCCGGTGTTTATATAACACTGGTAGCCCTTCGAGATGGCACTAGAGATCTCAAACGTGTGCGCTTCAGGTATATTTATTGCTGTTTTTTAGGGGTAACTCCCTAAAGTTTGTTACATGTAGAAACTATACACTCTATGTGTCCCCGTGTTTTTGTCTAGTTCCACTTTATGCAGTCAAAGTGGACAAACTATGATCATCAATCACCTTATGATTGGCATTGCAGTCGAAGAAGATTCGGAGAGCAGCAGGCAGAGAGTTGGTGGTCGGAGAACCGTGACAATGTGTACGAGAGATATAACATCAGGGGATCATCATCGGCAGCCATGTCTGACAAAGCGAGTTGCAGGTCAGAAGGACCTCTCTCCCCTTCTTCCCAAAGATAGGTAGGAGCGACTACGTTGTTATTTATTACGTATAGCCTTTCTTCTTCTTTTTTCGTGTACATAAATATTCTGTTTAGACAATTAGTGTTTGTTTTATGCACTAAACCAACCAGTGTGTGACATGGAGCATTGTTATATCCTTATATTTGGTTCCCTTATTGTCTTTTTTTTATGTCTTATAATGTGACATAAGAACTTAAACTTGTTTGGGCACTCCGACCAAATGGACAAAAACGAGTATTTTTTAAGATGATTTGAACAACATATCGACAAATTGAGTTTCTTTTAAAGCTTTTGAGATGTTTGAGAAAGTGTTTTGACTTGAATAATATGTTGGTCAAATGTTAATGCCAAAATATATGCAATTAGTATATGAGAGCATTTTCTAGCTTGAGCTTTCGATCACCGCTTGAAACCTAATGTACGTATCATTTTTCGTGATTTTTATCTCAAATTTAAAATAATACGGAGTAACTTAATTTAATTTCCTAATAAAGTACGTACTCATATATGATACTTCTTCCGTCTTGGAACATTTGTCTAATTTTGATCTTTTTGAAGTCAATCAAGATCAACAATTGACTTATAATTGAATACTCTGTAAAAAAAATATGGTACTTGTATATTAATTAGGTAAAATAGTATTTTGGAAATTTTTTAAGATAAATATGATTAAATTATTTTTTAATCCATATCAAATATTATTTTATTTAATTTATGGTCAAAGTTTATTAATTTTGAGTATATAAAATTAAACCTAAACAAATATTTTGATATGGGAAGTACATAAACAATGAAATGGGTCAAGAAGTACCAAGAATACCAAAATGAAAAAAATACCGCACCAAAAGAAAAAAAAATGATTTTTTCATTAAATTTTTGCACACTTTGACTACAAACAGTAAAAAATTTATATATTTAGTTATAATGTAGATTTAATATAATTTGGTTTATTAAAAATTATAGTTCTGATATATCCAAACTTTACAAAGTTAACAAAAAAGCTAGAGTGAAAGTTTTTTTTTTAAACGGAAGAACATATATGATGGTATATAGACCTTTTTAGATAATCAAATAATGCGTAAGAAAAATAGATTTAGGCCATGTTCTCTTCGGCTGATTTGATTGGTTCTGATGTGATTGAATAAGTTCTGATCTGATCTGACCAGAATGTAGTTATATTTATAATTATTTTTGATCTGATCAGATTCCGATAAAAATAAGTACTCCGTAATAAGTAAAAAAAATAAGTTAGAGAGAACATGATCTTAATAGATATCAAAGTACTTATTACTTGAATACAATATTATTCTTCCTATCCCAAATTAAATTACTTAATTAATGTTTTTTGATCTAATTTTAATAATTTTCTTTAATTATTTTTATCAATTCTTTAATAAATTAATATAATCATGTCAATTCTTGTTCTAAAGACTTTTTTAATTTTTAATTTGTTGAAGTCAAATTCTAACCAGAATTTCGTTGTAAACTCTCAAGAGTCACGAGAGATGCATCCACCAGGGAGGGATACGATGACTGGCACGGCACGTTCTTCAGCTCTCTCTCGTTTGATGTGATTCATTTCCGATCAGCTGAGTTTTCACCTGACGCCAGCTTTTCCATCTGGGCATTTCTGGAAGGAAAATCTCCCTCGCTTCATCTTTTCAAGGTTCTTGTCCTACAAAAAAGAGAATCTTTCAAGGTTCTTTAGGAATTTCAGGATTTTTATCTTTACCATTACCCTCGTTTCTTGAATCTCTCTGCTCCGATTAGTCCAGTTCGAGATTTTACTTTCTTTAGCAGTAGTATTATTCCAGTTCCAGCCCCAATGTATGATGAATGCGTTTAATCCGTTTAGGGTGTTTTTTGGATGGGGATGATCTAATGCTTGGATTGATTCGTTGGGTTATTTGATTTCTTTCTGGGCATGCCTGAGGATTTGCTCTCCCCTAAATTGGATTCAATCTATGAGGACAACCCATTCATTTGGGTCTGGTAGTCCCAAATCCTTCCAAGCCTACCCTAGAGGGGATTTTGACCTAGAATCTGGGATTCTCAAAAGAAGCAGAAATCCCAAAAGGCCTCCTTTTCATCCCATCAGAATGATCAAGTCATTGGGTAACCGGATAAAGCACTACTACAAGGTTCACCCGATTTTGCTATTCTTGACCTCGTTTTGCACTGCGGTTATTCTCATTGTTATGTTGTCTTCATTCGAGACCCGGTTTCGGCTGTTGGGTAAATTCCAGAAACTCAATGAGAGTGAAGAAATGTATCCATTTTCGACATTCAAGAATCTGGTCATGGTTGCCGGGCATTCCGTTTATACGAGCAGTAGCTGTGAGAGTGTGGACAAGGAGAATGCTTGGTTTCTGGAGTCATACCAGAAGCATCCTGGCCAAGCTGAAACTTTTGTCGCGCATATACAGAAGGGAGTTGAACTAGCTGCAAGCGATGGCGCTGCATTGCTCCTGTTCAGTGGTGGTGAGACAAGAAAAGAGGCCGGGCCCCGAAGTGAGGCACAGAGCTATTGGGTTGTCGCCGAATCGAAAGGATGGTTTGGTGAGTTGATGTGAAAACCTAAGGGTTTCTAATTTTTGTTTTTCTGATTGAAGAATGTGATAACTTATGAGAGTTTCTTTTCGATGCATATGTAATTTCGTGTCTGCTTCTTTGATCCTGAACCCGTGATGCATTTTCTGCGAAGCATTGTTTTTTACCACGTGCATTGAACCAAATCAAACAAACCTAATATATCCCACTCAAGAGTAGGGCTTGAGGGGGCAAGATGTACCCAAGGAGAAGTTTTTAGAAATAGATTATATGAAATGCTCTCGTGATATGCTATTTGTAAGGTGTGCGTACATCTTTCCTCCCTAGACCCTTCTCTTGATTCAAATGCATTGGGTTTGTTTGGTTTGGTTATTTATACGAAGTTGTGTGTGCTGTGTCTTCCACTTTTTTTTCTCCAAACAAAATGTCAATCCGAAACCGAGTTCCTCTTCTTCCTCTTGAAAATACTCAAACTTCAACAATTCTATGCAGGAAACCAAGAAAGTGTGAGGGGGAGAGCACTCACCGAAGAACATGCAAGAGATAGTTTTGAGAACATTCTTTTTAGCGTTTGCCGGTTCCGTGAACTTACTGGTTCATATCCACATAATATAACAGTAAGGCCATTTGTATTCATCTTTTTCTAATACGTAGTACGGAGTATAAGATAAGACTTCTATGCTTCATAAAATTTGTGCATTTTTCAAGATTCGAAGCTGTGCAGATTAATTTTGTAAACAATAAAGCTAAACTCTTAGATACCCTTTTCGAAACACTAAAGTTAAACGCTGAATCCGTTGCCAAATGGACTAAATCACTCCAACAACAACGTATTACAAACAGTTATTGACAAATATACCTACACGTATTGATCTCTAACCCGTGTTTCAATCAAAATGCAGGCGGTGGGTTATGACTTTAAGGCAGAGAGATTTGTTCAGCTGCACCGCACAGCCATAGGATTCCCAGAGAGTAGATTCTTTTACTCGGGGACCCCATCCTCGCCGGCTTCAAGAGAGGGGGCTTTGAAAGGTGAGGCTGTGGTGAGAGGTCAGTTTGAGGATGATCCTTATGGGTGTAAAGGCTCACTGTTTCGGAAGAAACTGGGACGCGATCCATTTCACCGTTCAATCCCTTACCCCAATGGGTGTCCTGAAATTGAAGGGTTGTTCAGATACTGTGGTGCAGCTCCCTATCCAGGTTCCTTGCCTTGGGGCCCTGTAGACAGTTGATTTTCTTTTCCTTTTTGTTTTTTTATCAATTGAAATGCTTATGTATCTCTGGCAGTTCCCTTGCCTTTTGTTTACAAGAATGTACTCCATGTTCTGTTATGTTTTTTTGTCCATGATCTATGTGATTTCATTGTAAAAAAACAAAGGTTCTAACACTCACCCCGGGTGTCATTTGAAGGTCTTATAATATTCTAATGGTTCCTACCCCACAAACCCTCCTGGCTCCCATGGAAAAATGTTGAAAAACTTGAAATGCTAAAATTTTACTTTAGCATTTTGGTGTTTTTGTATACACATTGAGAGCTTTTGGTCTTGCTTTTTATATTAAAAAATGATTCTTTCATACATCCAAAAATAATACTCCGTATAATTTTCAATTTTCAGCTATACTTTTGTTCCAAATTAATTTAATTTTTTTGCCTTCACCCATTTTAAAAAGAATATTTAAAAAATATTGAATCGTGAAAATAAATACGGAGGGAGTAGTCACAATTTGTTTAAAAAGAAAATATTTTAGACCCACATATTTTTTTTCTTAAAATATTGTCAAAAACTACCAATATGATTGAATGGAAAGCAGAAGTTAACCAAGCCGACCACCCTCAAGCTGGGGAGTTGGCTCTCATTCGCATAAAAACGAAAACAAACCTTTCTTTCAAAACTCCCAACAAACACCATTTTCAACTACCCTCACAGCCTCACTCACTCACACTCTGCTCTCTCTCTCTCTCTCTCTCTTTTCGCCGCCGCCGCGCCTGGCGGATTCCCCTATGTTTCATCTGCTCTTCCACCTTCCTCATCATCATATACCCTCCGCTTCCCAGTGCTCCTCTTTCTCTATCTAAAACGTACACAACTGCCGCCTGCAAGTCCACGAGCCCAAGAGCAGGTTTGCAATAATGGCTTTAGCTCCCACTTCCACCCAGATATCAAAACCGCTCTTTTCCACTAGACCCATTTCTCAAAGAGGCGTCTTTCTGCTGCCCGCCGCATCCAGGGCCCAATCCCGGAAATCTTTAATCCGATGCTCTGTAGCGGCGGCTCCGGCGACTGCGACCGTGCCTGAGGCGGCCAAGCTGAAGTCTTTGAAGGCCAGGCAGATAATTGATAGCAGGGGAAATCCGACTGTGGAAGTAGATCTGGTGACTGAGGGTGGGCTGTACCGGTCGGCGGTGCCCAGTGGGGCTTCCACCGGGATCTACGAGGCATTGGAGCTCAGAGATGGTGACAAGAGCGTTTATGGAGGCAAGGGTGTCCTTAATGCTGTTAAGAATATCAATGAAATCTTGGGTCCTAAGCTTGTCGGAGTAGATATCAGGTAAACTTTTTAGATTCAATCCACCAATATTTTGTATCTATTGCTGTGAATTTTTATTGTATTTGCTGAACATCCTGACTTAAAAAGGACTAATATACAACAATATGAGTAACGTCTTTCTGCCGGATTAGTCACAACTCTAGAATGATATGGCCAGGTTTAATAAAATCTTGTTAAATCCAAAACAAGCAAGAACATAAGTTGCACAGAGCTTTCTGGCATCACTAAATTAAGCTACTTTTTTTGAATTTCTTGAAATGTTTTGAGACATTTGACAATGTGAGGTACTCATTTATTGGTTTTACAAAAAGGAACCAGGCCGATGTGGATTCACTTATGTTGGAGATTGATGGAACTACTAACAAATCCAAATTGGGAGCAAATGCATTACTAGGAGTCTCTCTGAGCGTGTGTAGAGCAGGTGCCGGGGCCAAAGGGATACCTTTGTACAAGCACATTCAGGAGCTGTCTGGAACCAGAGAGCTCGTCATGCCTGTTCCTGCATTCAATGTGATCAATGGAGGCAGTCATGCTGGCAACAATTTGGCTATGCAAGAATTCATGATTTTACCTGTTGGAGCTGCCTCGTTTGCAGAGGCACTCAAAATGGGCAGTGAAGGTTTGTCAAGTCCCTTCTATACATTTGTATGAATGTGCCTCGATATTCAAAAACCTTATAAAAATATGTTCCCAATGATAAATGTATGAGTTGTACCCCTACTTTGCTCTTAATTTGTCCGTGCTACTGTGTGTACCTTGTCCATGGGTTTTTGTTTGTTCCGGGGTCTCTTGGAAACAGTCTCCACTTCTCAATAGGGGTAAGGTCTTGGATTTTTCTGGGTTTGTAGTTGTTTGGTGATCATTTGTTTTAGTATGCAACATCTTTTCTATAATTATAACCCTTTTTTTAAAGAATTTGCTGTGATTTATTTCAACAGTGTATCACACCCTCAAGGGAATCATCAAAGCAAAATATGGACAGGATGCATGCAATGTTGGAGATGAAGGAGGATTTGCTCCAAATGTTCAAGACAATAGAGAGGGATTGGTATTATTAATGGATGCAATTGAAAAAGCAGGCTACACTGGCAGGGTAAGAGTCATTCAGTAGTATTATTTTCTTTCTTTTTTCTAATACATATAAACTATGTTCGAAATCCATGGGAAAATGGCATGTATGGTGGGGATGCTTAGGAAATTTTCTGTCTATTCCTTAGTCTTTATATAGTAATATAAATAAATTGAGTTTGAACAAATATATTTGTTGAGTTCCAAGTAAAGTTTGTATCTTTTCCCCAAATTTTCTTTCTTTCCAAATACTTCTATTTTCCTCTCAGCCATTTTCTGGGTTACAGACTGACCCTACTGTATATCAGATTCTAATGGACTAAAAGGGCCTTGTTTCTACAGATAAAAATAGGCATGGATGTTGCAGCATCAGAGTTTCTTACGAAAGACGGGAAGTATGACCTTAATTTCAAGAATCAGCCAAATGATGGCTCTCATGTGCTTACTCCTGAGAGCCTTCTTGAGCTGTACAAGCAGTTCATCAACGATTTCCCTATTGTATCGATTGAAGATCCCTTTGACCAAGATGATTGGAGCTCTTGGGCAGCACTAGAGTCATCCGTTGATATCCAGCTTGTGGGCGATGATTTGCTGGTGACAAATCCAAAGAGAATAGCTGAAGCCATTCAGAAAAAGGCCTGCAATGCTCTACTGCTCAAGGCATGTGATCTTTCCTCACTATTTTCCTTCCTTCCAATGTAGTTTTCAGGATTGAGTTAGTGGCTGTGTCTCTTATTCCGTATGTGTATAAAATGATATTCAGGTTAACCAAATAGGTAGCGTGACGGAATCCATTCAAGCAGCACTGGACTCAAAAGCAGCAGGATGGGGGGTCATGGTCAGCCACCGCAGCGGTGAAACAGAAGACAATTTCATTGCTGACTTGTCCGTTGGTCTCGCCAGTGGACAGGTAACCTCTCTCCCTCTCTCCCTCTCCCTCTCTTTCTCATATATCTCCTCTTCTGTTTCATTTTCAAATCTGATCTTTGGTGTTTTCTTTTTTGTTATGTAGATCAAAACAGGAGCTCCCTGCCGAAGTGAGCGCCTTGCCAAGTATAACCAGGTGAGATCAGACAGTTTCTCTTGCAAAAAATTTTCCTTTCCTCTTCTCATCTTTCTTGCATAGCAAATGGGTAAAAATGGGTGTTTTAGTTTTCAAGACTTTTTTTTTTAAAACATCAAGATGTGTATGAATATGATGATGACCATACTTGCCATTGCTGGTGTCATTGCAGCTTCTGCGCATTGAAGAGGAACTTGGAGATGTTCGCTATGCTGGTGAATCTTTCAGATCGCCGTGAGGAAAGCAAGACAGAGACTCACCACATGGAACAGTTACGTCTGGTCTTTGCTTGTTTTCAGTTGTTTGTTGTAGGAAAGAGGAACAACTATGAAAGCATTTATGTATTCTTTAAGGATATCATGTATCTTTTCTTCCAAAGTTATTGTGAAATTTCGTCTGGTCATTGCCTCTAAGGTATGTTTGGATCACAAATATTTCTGTTTCGAGATTCTTTAAGAAACCTCTGTTTACATGTATGCTGTTTCAGTTCAACTAAGATTAAGAAAGTCATCAACTTTGAGAAATGTGAAGAAACTGCAACTCACGTTTTTCGTAAAAGTTTTTTTTTTTTTCACATAGTGATTCAAGATTTTCATAAGATATTAAAGCTACTGCCTTTCTGCCGCACCTTTCTAGTTTCTATTGAACCAACAAAACAAGAAAAGCAAGTTTCCATTTTTGGCTCATCATAAGAACTTTCTTGCATTGCTGATTGTTGTTTCAAATATGAAGCCCAACTGCAGCTGACCTACGAGAGAAGACACTTTGTCATGCATCTTCATCAGAAAATACTTTCAACAATCTTTTTAATGATATAAATTAATTTTGAAAATGTTAAAATTCAACAATAGCACCAGATAATTTTTTTCAAAATTCTAAAGCTAAATGCAAAAGTTGTTGCCAAACGGGACCTTTATATATAGACAAATAAGGCTTAGTAAATACACATACATTACAAGGGTTGCAGTTTTTACACATAAAAGAAGAATAAATTAAATAACCCCTTCCCGGTATTTACATTTATTTAATTATTTACCAACACAGAAAAAGGTACACATTTTTCTTAACATTATTTATTCAAGTAAAAAAACACACTTGCAGCCCTCTTTTCTGCACATCATCATTATCATCATCATGCTGGGTCAGTCAGCACAGAGATTTTTTAAGATGACAGGGTTCTGAGCAAGAAGATACCCATGCCACCAACAGCCAAGCTGAGCAGCAATGGAACTCCAATGGCTTCAATCTCTCCCATCCTTCCCGACGTCCTCTCTTGCTGAGCCCTCTCTCCATATCTCTCCCGCACCGCGTTGCTCAATATGTCCATCTGATGCATGATCTGCCGCTGCCCTCTCCCAACTGCAACCACCTGTTGGGATTCAATTGTAGAACTGTGAACCACTCCTTTCTTTTCCATAAATGTAATGACAACATTTTAGGACAACTGAGAAATGAAAACAAGTTTTTTTTTTAAAGAATGTTTGATGTGGGACTTTTATGTCCTCTAACAATAATACGGAGTAATATACTTCTTCCATGAGAGAGTCCCTGGTCAATTGAGAAGAAGAAGATGAGTGACGCAACATGGAACCCCCAGTCAACGAGCTGTTGCCGGGACCAGCTACAAAAAGAGAGCTAGGCACGGAGCCATTGCTCATTACTTCTGAAAAAACCGTCGCATTTTGTTCGCTGGGAGGGAAACTCCTTGCTGACATTTTTGTGTTTATCTCTTCCAACCGAGATGTGAACTCGTCCATTCGCTCTGTCAGGGTAGAGATCTGTTCACAGAGGTGAGCGATTGCACCCTGAAAACAAAGGAAGAAGAGCAAAAGCTTTAACTCACGTTTGTGATTGTATTAAGCCCAGGAAAGGCTATATACTCTAACAAGTGACTATGAAGATTCATTCTTAGATATTTTAAAGCTGTATTTTACTACCTGGTTAGCAACTACTGGCGAATCAGGAGTTCGTCCATCATATCTCCTGTTATTTACTGCAAGCTTTGCCAGTTTGCTGATATGTTTCTCGCGCTGAGTTGAAAATGAGAGCGACATCCCACTGCCCAAATTTAATGTCCATATATTTTGGATGTAAGCATTTGGCTCCAGAATTGTGTATGAGAAATATATAAATAAAGATATATTTTCATCTACCGGTTAAGAAACTTCATTCTCCTATCAGCAGAGGCTCGAGACAAAGCCTCTTTGGGGCTCAAGGCTGCCGCATCATCATCAATGCTTAGTTTTGTCTTTAGATCAGCTGGCAAAGCCTGCAAAGGGTTATTGAATGAGATATGTCTCGTTACTCTCGTACGGGTCATAAAATAAAATAAAAAATGTATACTAAATTATGAAAGAATATATTGTACGGAGTATTACCATAACATCATTCACAAGCTTTTCCACTTGAATTTGCTCGATGTAAGTGCGGGGAACATATGAACCATCCAGTCCCAGCTGCATACCGATGTGTTTGACATACAAACGGTCTTTTCCTTGCACCTTTCGCATTAATTACCACAATCTATCAGTACTAGTTTACTATACTGGAAAAAGGATAGTTAAAAAATAGTAAGTAGTGCTTCATTTTAAGGCTCCGACATAATGTCACATTTGGAAGGTTGAGAGTGCGAATTTAATATGTTAAACAAAGATTTAGTGGTTTTATAGTATAACCATTACTATCTGATACCCTATATTTTTGTTCATATAATTTCCCTCTATAGCTTATCTTTAGTTATATAAGGACACCTTTTGAAGGTCCAGCCTTCATTTATGTTATAACCGTAAATTGTTGAACATAAAAGAAGATGGGTTTACCTGGGAAAGGATGTAATAAAGATACCTGAACATAGTGGCGGTTCAGTTGCTCCAACCAATCAATTTTGACACAAACTTTGTCATCGGAGAAGACGTGACTATTCCTTTTCAAGATAGAGGCAATGCTGTAGCCTAAGGCCATCAACCCGCCAAGAAGGCGCACGCTGACTTCAAAACTGATTCTTGGCGATATTATGAAAGGCATATCCTTCACCCATTCCTGATGCCAATAACGATGGTGTAATAACATCATAGGCGCATGCTGGATTCAATCTTTCAATGTTGTTTGGTTTCTATAAAAAGTAAAAGGTAGAGATTTCTGACCTCGAACATGAGAGTGTATCTGCCATCCCTGTTCCTCATCCTCAGATATGATTGACAAGCTTCAGGTTCTTCGCCAGGCGGCAGCAGAAAAATATCATATGTTTCCTCTGTGGTTTCTTTTTGTTCCGTGGAAAGAACAGCTTTGATCTGATCCACGGAAACAGTCCTCGAAGACTAAAAATGAAACACATGCACTCAGAAGTCAGAACTAGAAGCTGAAGCTAAGAAAGTTTAGACTTTTACATAAAAGTTAAGACTTAGGCTCCACTTGGTAGGCTTATCATGCTTATAAGCAAAATAAGTAGCTTTTGACTTATTTGGCCAAGACGAGTCTCACCAAACGCTTTAAAGGGAGAAAAAAAATCAACAGATTGAGCCATTGATGCATTAAGGTATTTAACCTTCAAAACATAAGTGGGGTTCTGAAAACCAGAGAACGGATTAAACTTGTTGATGATTTTTATATGGGCTGTCTTTAGATCTGGTTCGATAAAAGCCTTGTACATTGGATAGACCTGTTTACAAAAGGAAGTGTTACAAAAGGTAAAGCTTCATCCAATTGAAAAACATGAGCTAAAAAAATAAACAAGAATGATATCATAAAAACCGTTTCGGAGATTTGATGGATGATTTCTTCTGGTTCTTGGTCAACACGCTGAATATCCCTAAGAACCCGTTTTACAAGGTCAAAGTGCACTCCACCGGTGACCGAGACACGAAGATCAATCAAAGGCCGCAGTGTTTCACTCAGAGCATAAATCCCTTCAATGATTACTACTCGAGAACTAGGAACTTCAACCGTCCTGTTAAATAAATGAACTCACAATCCATACTCCTACCAAAGATGCTTCCAAAAGGAGGAGGCAATGCATGGTCTCATATCCATAATTTACTTGTTGCTATGCAATTTTTTCTATATTTAATGATATAAAAGGAAAATAGTTACTGAGGAAGAAAATCATTGGAGGACATTGGTAGAAGATGGCATTTCATTTCAGTTTTTGCCTTTGATTTTATGAATAGAATATTAGAGATATGGTTTACCTGTATCCAATACGAGAACTCGACTTAAAGTCATATATAGGAACTTGAACAGGCTTTCCAGCTTTTAGGCCATGGATATTCTCAAGTAAAGTTCCATAATCCGTCAAGCGAGGATCTATTTTGAAGGAAAAAATAGGAAACAATTGAATTAGAGTTAATGCAAGACATTCAATTAGCTAATTAACAATGGCAAATTATGTAAGTCCATCATAAAATAGAAAGAAATTCATCAAAGGTAGAATGAAAATGAAACTACTTAACTGTTTGATTCCATCTTAATGAAAGAAAGAAAACAAGTAAGGTGCCTCATGTGAAAACACTCAGTACGGACAAAGACGACACAGAAAAAACACACTAGCACAAACTAAGCAAGAACACACAGACAAGATGAGCACACACTGGCACTAACAACTACTACTTAAGATCGGTAACATAACCCTAGAAGAGTAAGCAGAGAGATGAAGAGGAAGAAGTACTACCATCAAAGTTGCCATCGATAATGCGAGTTGGATCGTTATAGTTGTCCATGTTAATGACAGGGATGCTAGGCATGAAGTGGTTAATCTTTTCAGTAAACACAGTCTTTCCAGCACCAGACGGACCAGCCACTCCCACTAAAGTTATTCCCTCGTTCTTTTGAGCCAACAATTGGCATGCTCGGATCACAACGAAGAATCCCTTCTCAAATGACAGTGTGTCTTGAATTGGGACAATCTCATAACGATCACAATCCCTTCTTTTCACTATCTGGACTTGATCTCTTAGTAGCCCAGATCTTCTCCTTGGTGATTCAAGGCTAGAATGACCTTCCGGAGCCATCTATATCCTCTGAAAAAATAAAAACAAATTGAAACATACAAGTATTTCTAACCAAGCTTCCATCTTTGTAACATCAACAGAACCAAACCCAGGTTATCTAAAGCAAATTGGCTATCAAATGCATGCATTTTAGATGTTTTCATTTCAAGAAAAGTAAAAACAGTACGAAAGACTCCGAAATTGATACTCCACTATATATGACCAGCTAAATTTCAAGAATACCCAGATTGCAAAAACATCACACACAGCACAAACATATTGATTCCAAGAAATAGCTAAGCAGGACCGTTCAAATCGAACAACCTAAAAAAGATTAAGTTTTTGAAGCTAGAAGAGCTGTAACAGACCTTAATGTCTGCGAGACTGCAAAGAACTTGCCTGTGGGTGATGAATGGGGATGGAAGCAGTATAAGAAGTAAGTGAAGAGCGGTGGAAAAAACGGAAAATCGTGAGATTATCGGTGGAAATGAACACTAATCTGAGGGAGAAGAGGACAGCGTGGTATGCTGATGCTGTCTTAGCTGGGGGTTCCTTCAAGAACTCAAACTCTCTCCCGTCTTAATCTCTCTCTCTCTCTCTCACTTTCTTGGTCTGTAAAACCAGGGTCGTTGCCATGATGGGGTGGTTCGGAAATGGGCAATGGAGAAAACGTGAGCTATCTCTTTAAAAAAATGTTTTCCGAATCTTAGTTAATTACTTTCACAATTTTAAATAAATTAATTCATTATGATTTTACGATGTAAAAGGATTTTTGGAAAATCATCTTACATTAGAATTTTAGATAAAATTTTAATGATATAAATTAATTTAAAAATAATAAAAAATAAGATGTTGTAGATAACTGGAATTTTGGGCCACACAAAATTTGCTATAAATTAAAAGGTGAGACTTTTTTCGAATGTCTTGAAAAGGAAAATGATGGGTGTATTCCACAAAGACCAGAAATCGGGTCAGTGCCGACTAGACTCAACCGGGCAAAGTCTAAATGGCAAACAAAAAGGTAACCCTGGATATTTACGCATGACCAGTCAGAAAATAAATCATCGAGTGATCTATGACTGACCAGTCAATCAATATAGCGCCGTCGAAAACATCCTCAACTCCTCAAGTGATCAAGACGTCCCTTCTGGAAACCATCCGAGTGGATTTCCAGGACTTCATGTACTAGCATGATGATGGCCCAGCGCGATTAGATGGAGATGACCTGGCTGGGCTAGGTTCTCTACACCAATGGACTTGTCTAGAAATATCCCTTCTAATACTACACAACAAGAGGGGGCAAGTAAAGAGGATATACACCAGAGAATAAAAAACAAATGCTACAGGACGAGGAAACACCAGAGCATGTCTTTGGTCCAGAACGTGTTTAGGCATGGGCGCACGTGATCTTAACCCTTGGACTACTATAAATACTGATGTAGCTCCTCCTTAGAGGGGATTTTCTTCGTAGTATATATTTCATCTTCTCTATGAAGAAGGAATGGGCACAGAATATGGTTTTTCACTTACTTTCCATATCTTGGCTTAACAACATAGCGCTTCCCTTCCTATCACCCTTTCTTCATAAGCCTACAATCTCTATCTTTGATATGTTCTTCCTAGGGCGAGATATCTTGCCTCTAAAATATCTGTTTGTATATTATATTTGGGGGATGTGAAACTTCATCTTCATGTGGCTCGTCTAAGCTTTTTGAATGAGTTGAACTATCTTCAACTAATTTGAAATGAATCGCTGAACATGCTTTGATGTGACAACATTATTTCATCTAACATCATGATTGGAATAAGTTCTGATCTAATTTAAATGTAATTATATTTAAAGTTATTTATGATCTGATCTAAACTGGTTCTAATAAGAAATAATGATAATTAGTAATAAGAATAAGTTTATGAGAATACAACCTAAAGAAGGTAGTAGTTCTAGTTTTGAGATCGTAATTAAATTTGATAACGCACTCCTAATTAAAACTTATAATTTATAATTTACACTCTAACTTTGGGATAAACTATAGTCTCACTAAAATTAAGACAAAAAAATAAAATCATATGCAAAATGTCTCATTACATTCTGCTTGATTTTTTGTTTTAGACTAGTTATCTCAAAATAACATTTTCCACTTCATTCTTTATATAAAAGCATTTTTTGGGTATTGGTTTATCCTCGAGTGCTCAACTTTACTCTTGGGAAAAGAAAAAAAACTCCAAAATTGTGATTCAAAAACAATTAACTATAAAACTAATTTATGGTATTCTTTCTGTTTGATCCTAGTAAAAATATTGTCTCATATTTTGGCATTTCTTTTATATAATACTCATATACACTTGTACTCGTAATTTGTTACTCAAGAAATATATGTTTGTGTCAAGATTTTGTCAAGTTTTTATGTTTTTTATATTTCGCAGAAATACTTTTAAATATCAACTCTTTGTGCTTTGTTTGTGGATCGAATCATGGAATGCTTGTGGACAAAACTTGAAAAAGCAAGCTAATTGAGATTTACTGCAGTAACTTTGTGTTATACTCCATAAAGTTTTTCATCAAACACTTCTAATAGCGATTTTATGAATCTTTTACACATAAAAGTACTTTTCAAATATTCTCCAAACAAGTGCTATTTTATATATATATATATATATATATATATATATATATATATATATATATATATATATATATATATATATATATCAATATTTTGAAACAATTTGTTTTAGGGAGTAGTGTCATAATAATATGAGATCTAAATTAAAGTGAATGTCATTTTAATTTTGGCATTTTTTTTCAATAAACACCCTTCATTCTAAAACACCACAACAATTGTTCCCTATAAATTAAGAAATCAAATATGGAATACTATATATATTAATTTGCGCGAATTAACTCTGAACTTTAAAATTTATGCGGATTACCCTTAAATTTTTCAAGATGTTGCATCAATGGTCTCTTTACGCCATATTTGTTATAAATTAAAAAATTCAATACAAATTTTTAAGATTTTAAACATAAAATTTTGAGCCAAACCTATATTTGAAAACAAAGTTAAAATTTCCAAACATGCTATGAAAAAATTAAATAAATTAAATTTAGCTAAATGAATATTGAAGTGGACTTTTATTTTGGAAAAAAAGAAAATGTAAATAATTTGATTAATAGTGCTATTGGTACCGCATTTACACATCATTTGTACTCCAAAACTTTACACTAGCATAAAATGCAAGTGCAACACACTGACATATCAGTCTTGCTCTTACATTTTATGCTAGTGCAAAGCTTTAATGTATAAAATGATGTACAAGTTGCATGATCCTAATTTGATATCTACCAAACTTGCTAGTTGCCACTATACATTCTATAGTTAAAGAAATTCATCATAATTAATTTTGTAAAAAGATAGAGCTACTCTACACCAAGGATTGTATTATGAATTATTTCACACTGGCATAAAATAATAAAATATTAGTGTAAAATTCATTTACGAAATAATTTATTTTGTAGAAGTTTAAGGTAACTTTCACACAAAAATTGTACCAAAATTGTACCCGACATATGATTGACACTTTAATTATTTAACCTAGCACAAAATACTCCCAGACACGCCCAACAATTGCGGGTTACCTTTTGATTCCCGAATCCAATTCACCCAAGTGTTTGACCAAGTTGTCCAAATTCTGGAAAGAATCTCCGCCTTCCACGCTGGCATCAAGAGCCGCCTGCCTCAGCCGCTGCACCCGTGGCCTTGCCTCTCCTCCTCCCTCCTTCACGGCGCCGCGTAGCAACCGAGCCAACTCGTCCGAGTCCGGCACCTTCTCCGCCCCCTCAATCAGTCTCGTCCCCACCTTGAACTCGTCCACCAGGAGGTCCGCATTCGCGAATTGGTCGGCTCCCATCGGCCACGTCAGCACCGGTACGCCGGAGACGATGGCTTCTAGGGTGGAGTTCCAGCCGCAGTGGGTCAGAAACGCCGCTAGAGCCCGGTGCCGGAGAATCCTCACCTGCGGGACCCATCCTTGAATCACCATTCCCCTTGGTCCCACGCGTTCTTGGAACCCGGCCGGGATCGTCCCGTAAGCTCCGTCCACGTGTCCCTTGGTGGGCCCCTTGACCGACCATAGAAAGTTGACTCCGCTCTTCTCCAGCCCGGTTGCCACGGCCAACATTTGCTGGTCGGTCAACACGGCTTGGGAGCCGAAACAAACGTACACCACCGAGTTGTCCTCCCGCGATCCGAGCCAACTCAGTATCTCACTCGTTGCGACGGCTGTCTGCCCGCCTCTCTCCGCCGAACCGGATACTTCGTCGCCGGGAGGCAACAGGGGACCGACGGACCATATTCTGTCGTTGACCAAGTACTTCTTCAAATGCTCGATGTACACCCCTTCAAGCGCGGTGAACGTGTTGAACAGCAGTCCGTAACTCAGGGTGTTGTCCAAGTACGACTTTTTTATGATTTCCGATGCCGGATCTCCCTCCACGTAGCTCCGGTAAAGCGGGGACAGCTGCCACCAGGGGTATTCCGGGCAGTTCGGGATATTAGGGAACCGGAATACCTCGTTCTCGTCGGCGGGATTCTTCCGCTTCGGCATCTCTCGCCACAGACTGAAAACGACGGACATAACCATCGCGCCGGAAGGGCTGAAGACGAACCGGGGAATGCCGATCTCGACGGCAAGATCGTGGGTGAACCCCAAGAATATGTCCGAAATGATCGCAACCGGGGGAGAAGGGTGTTGGCGAAACCAATCGGCGATTTGATCATTGAGGCCGCCGAGAGCGGGGATCATTGCGCGGAAGCCGGAGGGAGGGAGATCCTTGACGTTCTCGACGCCGGCGGGAATGGAATCGGTCGCCGGAAAGGGGAGGACGAGGGTGTTGATGGAGGAGTGTCTTGAGAGGAGAGGGGACAAGAGGGGGAGATTCTTGGGGGTGACGAGGATGGTGATGACGACGTTACGGACGGCGAGTTGGTGAGCCAGATCTAACAGGGGAAGCATGTGACCTTGGGCTGGGTATGGAAATACCAGGACATGAACGCCGCTTGATTCTGACATGGTGGTGGTCGGAAATGACAGTCGCGGCGGCAGGGGGTTAGATGATGCGGAGGAGAAGCAGATGTATGTGGAATTGTGGATTGAGGAATAGGAAACAAATACAGAGTGTGTAGAGATAGGCCCCGTTTGGCATCAGTGTCAGCGTTTTGAAAAGGCTATCCGACGGTAACCTTTAGCGTTAGCGTTTTCAGAATTAATCTGTACCATTAAAATTTTATCCAAAACGCTAACGCGAATCGAAAATGTTGTTACCAAACAAAGTCATAGGCTGATACCAGGGATTCCAATCTATCCTGTATATCTTTTTTTCTTCTTTTTTTCACACCACAATCAATCATTAAATTAATAATACATCAATCAAAAAAGGAAGAAATATCAAAACTAAGACACCTTCAATAATCAAGCTAAACTAGCAGCATCAAAATCTAGGGGTAGAAAAGGCATTGAAGACTAATCAAGAATCTAACTTAGAAATCACATCATTCAAGTCAATCCTTTGTGCTAGGAGTATGCCATAATGAAGGGTCGTGGTTTCCGCCTACTTCGGGCACCCGATTGATATCTAATCCTTTTAACCAGCAGTTACCACTGCATCTCGAGCGTCTCAAAAGACCATCCTTCCTACTATTTTCTCATCTTTGATGAGTGCATGAGAGTTTATTTTGATTGTTGCACCCGAGAGAGCTTGTCGTAAAGATCCATCCCGATGTTGCTCTGCAGAGGACCCAATAGCAAGTCTGTTGTGTTCTTTCGAATCTTTCCTCAATAACTTTGCAAGGAGAGCCTTAACACGCCCAACTACATCATGAGGTGTTTCCCTCTTCCAAAGACCTGCTTGTTTTTGCTATAAACGAATACACCCACAATATAATGAGCTTTTCTTGTCCCTCAACATTTGACCTTTTTAACTACTCTCCATGACTTCCTTCAAAGATCAGACATACCGTACAATATCATTTCACATCATTCAAACGTATGGGTAGCTAATAATTGCGTGAGGGGGGTTGTTAGTCGATGCGTCCACGTCTTAGAGGGGATGAATGAGGCAAACAGGTGTCTCACCTTCTTTGTTGTATCTTGCACTTATGGGGTCGTCAATAGCGTGTCTATAGTGAAGTTCCAATTTTCTAGGCAAAGAGTCTCAATATATCTACCAACAAAACATCTTGATTTATGAGTAACGTTTGCTCAAAGGAATGCAAGCTTTCGATCCTTCTCATTAACCATTTTGTTTACCAGTTCCACCTTTCAACTACTCAAGTTGGGGTCAATATAGTTAAGGACCATAAGTTTTCCATTAGATGTTCTCAGGGAGGAGTCTTAAGCTTAAGGTCTCAGGATTGATTAACGGTAACGATAGTGAGAGAGCCAGACGGCCTTTTTTAAAATCAAAATGAGTTTATACCGTGATCTAAAGGGTGACCTCTCTGTCAGTCAGGCTCGTGTGTGGGGGCACTCCCTGCAGAACATAGCCCATTTAGTGAGCGCAAGAAATTTGGATTATGATATATATCTCCTAATATGAGAATTTTATCCTGATGTTTGCGAAGCCACAAAAGAATTCACATTTGATATCTCTAGTCTTCCAAAAGGTTACTTTCAATATCATACCATTTCTGAACATATCAATACGAGAGTCTGATATATTTCTAAATCTATGCAAATATCAATATGAGAGTTTGATATATCTCTAAATCGTAAAACTTTTCCCGCCACCAAGTACTATTGCACTGCTAAACTTGTTGTTGACTGCCCATTTATTACCAATTAAAATATGGAGCATGCTACATGTACCCAAAAATTGTAACCATTTGTACACTAAAGATATGCACTAACATTTTGATAGTTCATACAGACACAAAATATTGGTGTGTTAACAAAAATTTACATAGACACATAGTGTTAGTATGTTAATAAAAATTAGTGTTATACTAACACAAAATATTTGTGCATCTTTATGGTGTACAAAATGGGTACAAATGTAGAAATAATTTTTACCCTTAAAATATGTGTTAAAATATGGTTTCAAATCTCTCCTACGAATTTTATTTGAGATTTCGAAATTTTATTATTTTTATCCAATTTCAAATCATACACAACCGCAGTTACCCAGGGTTTGAACTTTAGGGCGATAGTTTCCCGCTGATTCCAGCAATGGCTTCCGGAACCAAATCGGAATCGCGTGCAAACAAACGCCGCGAAACACTTGAACGTCCGCTCCCGTCAAAAGAAGCCGCCGTCCAGGGTAAGACCAAGATCGAAAACTTGGAGCGGGAGGACGAAGGCGGCGAATCGGAGCGGTGCTGCGGGATTTGCCTGGTGGAATCCGGGCAGGGGCAGTCCACAATTCAAGGATGCATCGGCAGCTGCGATCACTTGTTCTGCTTCTTGTGTATCACGGGGTGGTCCAAGGTTGAATCCAGATCTCCGACGTGCAAGCTCAGATGCTCCGCCATCCGCCGCCCTGCCAACCCCTCGGAACGCCTTGTCCCCGTACCTCATCGCGATCAGGTCAGGCGGCATTTATATTTTTTCGATTATATTTTTCAGAGATTAGCCCTTTAAGTTGATTTAGGTTTTTATACTCGTATTACCTGACTACCTTTGCTCTATGCTGGACCAATCACTTAACAATATGTATGGCTGGATTTTCATTTAATTTGAAGGGTGCAAGTCTTAAAACTCTGAAGTGAAAAAAAAAATCTATATTGTTTGCGGTAAGAAAGAAACAAATATCGATAAGGGGAAGTGTTAAAGTGTTGCCGTTATATAGTCTTCTCAATATGCTAATTAAAGCTAAATGCCGAAGTTGTTGCCAAATAGGCATAGATTGATATCAATTGGCATGTTTGTGGTGTTTAATTTGCTCAATTACCGCGTGTGGCAACTGTATCTAAGCTAACAAGTTGCCCAAAAACATCTTTGTTTAACTGATTTATGCTAGCCGGTAGGTAAACATGATAAAATGATGTGGTCTCTTATTAATCCTTCCCAAGAGTATTAGATGGCTTTTGAACATGTTATTAACTTAGGGGCTGTTTGTTTCAGCCTCTTAATGGTTCAGATGTCTGAATGGTTCAGCACTTAATGGTTCAGACTGTTTGTTTCAGTCTCTTAATGGTTCAGAAGTCTGAATGGTTAAGAGATTTGCCTCTGAATGGTTAAGTATTATACAGAGTCTGAATGGTTAATACCTCTTATCTGAATTGATCAGATATTTGCCTCTGAATGGTTAAGAAATATACTAGCTCTTAATGGTTCAGACCTCTTACTGGTTCAGCACTTAATGGTTCAGACCTCTTACTGATTCAGCACTTACCCATTCAGAAGTTGCCAAACAGCCCCTTAATATACGAATGCTAGCAGCCAATGCGAATCTTGAGGAGGGATATGTTAAAGAGTATGTAGCTAACAAAATGGTACTTTTTCTTTTTATAGACTATTAATCTTTGTAATATTTTCCTTTATGATATGCTAAAAAACAATCTTTCCCTCGATTGGTTCAACTCCCAAGAGTAAGTCGTTTCTTTTTTACTCAAACAATATGTATAGAACACACACACACACACACTTTATAGATATATTGATCATAGCACTTTTATATAGATTCATTGAATTCTGGAAGAAATGTTTTGAAAGTAAATACTCTCTCTCATTCTTTCTTTATTTTGTTTGCTCATTTTCTTTCTATTTGTACTCTTTTTCCCCCCAAAGAGATGTGTTGTATCTCACTGTTGTAAGTGTTATAAAACACAGTTCAACTGATTTGTTTTATTGTATCCAGCTCGTGATCACCATCATCTATTCATGATTCATAATATCATATTGTTGTGTCTGTTTTTTTTTCAATTTTCTGTATAAACTTTTGTTAAATTCGACAACCTTTTGTGTTGTCTTTGTCTGTACTCTAAACAGTCTCTCTACTGCCAAGTGAGACTAAGGTCTCCTTACACTTACTTTCTCCAGACCCTACTTTCACGGGATTTTATTAGTTTTGTTGTTGTTTTAAAGCTGCGAGTCAAGATTTTTTATAGCTTGCTCCCTTGACCATCCTCGCATTTTGATGTACCTCTCATGCAGGTATGAGATCATTTTGGAAATGTGACAACATGCCAAAGCTGACGACACTATGGATGATTTTGATGCTGAACTGAGTCTGAACCAAAGTATTGGATCACCTGATGATTCACCTCAACTTGTCAATAGAGTAAGTGATGATGAGTTGTTGGCTTTGCCGAGAACTGATGAGCTTTCTGCTTCAACCTTGTGGTGTCGCCGCACATTTTACATGAAAATAAGGGCGGATTACAGTGTGGGTCCATGAGTTTCCCATCCAGCAAGAGCCATGGCCGACCACTTCATGCAAATGAGATGGATAAAGCATGAAAGATGATGGGTATTGCGAAGTCAATGATGGACAAGCACCATGGGCCAAAAACACTAAATCGGGCCTCAAAACACGCTTCAAAGAAAACGAATGTCTGCAGAGAAGGTGGTGCACGGCATTCAACTTCTCTTTCATCACACTCGGCATTAAATTGTGATATAGTAGGCATTCAGAGAAGAAGAACATATTTAGCTTATCATCATCATCATCATCATATCATCTTGCTCGTACTCTTTGATGAGGTCAGCACAAACCGTCTCTATTCGTTCTGGAAATGAACATTGTCTCCCTTCCTCAAGAAACTTTGGGCGGAAACTCTGAAGGACAATAAAGTTGGACCGGAAAAAGCTGACGAGAGCAGAAAAACTAGAGATGGACATGAAGCCAAGAAGGAGGTTCAATCTCTAGTCAAGCTCAGAAGAAGGCTAGGTATGGTGTTTCTTCTTCTTAGAAATCATATTAGTAAATGAAGTTGAATCGCATTATGATTTCCTTTGTTATATTATGAGATATATGCTCTTGTGCATTGATGTTACTATCAATCTGCACAAGTAGAGAAGTTCAAAGAAAGTGCAAGTCTCTCTACTCACTCCATCTTAAAATCTTGCGGTTCAGAGGCCTAACTTGTTTATACATTAGCATTGGTCCCGATACACCCATTAATAAGTTTAAATTATTATACTCCTTCCGTCCACAAATAAACTCCTCGTTCGCTATTTACAGAGTCAAACTTTATTCACGTTGTTGGTCTATTTTCGTCAACTATTTGATAAAATAATATAGTCATGCCACTTCTAGTTTTATAGATCTTTTGATATAGTTTTTTGATATATAATTTTTATTTTTAAATTCTACACCATTTTTCATATAAAATGATTTGAAACTTCAGTCAAACATCGTAACGCGCAATAAGAAGTTTATTTATGGACGGAGGGAGAAGAAAATAAAAAAAGAAACTCTATGTTTGTATCTAGGAGAGCAGACAAAACATTAGGATAGATGGAATGTCTAACAAGGTCTTGTTTGGGAACAATATTCATGATAACTATTTGTGATTTTAAATTGTTTTTAATGATTTAGATTAGCTTTAAGAATATAGAAGTGCTGGTGGTGTAAATTAGTTGAACCAGCCTAAGTGCCTAACTACTCGTATTTAGAAAATTTAGCATTAACTTTATTGTAATTGAATCTTATACCCCAAAGTCCAAAAATAATTCTAATGCACAAGACCATAAATTTTATAGGTCTGGTGCCCCTGGATCGCGTGCGGATCGCAGTTATGTGCGTTCCTCGAATTTTTTTTTATATTTGTCCGGCCCAAGGGTAGAGACAAGAATTACATGGGTTATAATATCAAATTAGTCTAGGTCCAAATCATTTTCTATGAAAAAATAGTGTAGAATTGAAGATTAAGAATTATATATTTACAAATTATATCAAAAGATCTAAAAAACTAGCGGTAATATGACTATGTAACTTTTCGGTAAGTCTAAAATGACACTAGTGCTACTAGTGTCATTTGCTTATACTAGTTTGTTTGGGGTACCTACGGTGCTCCGTTTGTAAAAATGACAGTTCCTACCTCCCTAACCCTCCCCCTAAACCCCCCAGTCCCACCCTTGGCCCCCATCCCAGCCCGCGTCCCGCCCTTCATCCCTACCCCTGCCAGGGTAGGGAGGGGGGCTGGGGTGGGGGGCAAGGGTGGGGCCTTAAGTCTACAATAAAATTTGTCTGGAACTAGTTTAATGGCAAAATTTATTATAGACTTAAGGTCTATCATGGACTTACATATAAGCAAAATAAGCACTTATTTACTATATAAATAAACATTTTTAAAAATAAATAAAAAAGCATTTATTTTATGTAAGAAAGTTTTCAAAACTGATATGCACCCAAATGGTACACCAAGGAAGCAGTCTAATTTAACATGTGAATTTAATCAAAAGTTTTGTTTTAGACAGAAGAAATACTCGTATTAATTTGGGAGATAGCCTAAAGCCTTTTCCCAATTTTTTTTAGAGGGAGAGAGTAATATTTTAATAAATCCACGTCAGCATGTATTTGAATGGATCCTTTCAAGACAGGTCACGGCGGGGCACATGCCCCCCACTTCGTATAAAATGACTCCACATTCATGGGCCCAATTTTTTTCTCTCATCTTCTTAATAATTTTCCCGACTTTTTTATTTATTTATAAAATGACTCAATATGTCTTCCAATTAATTTACTACTTGGTGGTGAAGTATTTATTTAATTTGATTTTTTTACATTGAAATTAGATAAATATTTGATGTGAATCAAATAAAAACCACAACGTACTCCATATGATGAAACAATTTTTTTGAAAGGATATTAATGAAACGATGAACTAAGAGTATTATTTGAAAATTTCTATGTAAGGCAAATTTGGTGGAACTATGAGTGTATCGGCTTGCTTGGGAATAACGTTAAGCATTAACGTTAGCGTTTTGGATAAAATTTTAATGATGCAGATTACTTTAAAAATCATATCTCTGAACGATGCTCGTATATAACATTTTCAAAGTGCTAATGCTAATCTTTCCGATATTCCCAAATAGATCCTATGTATGTTTGTATTGAATGTTTAGTGCCATTTTGGAAACACATTCAATGTTTAGAATATATTATCTAATGACGATTTTTAATTTTTTATATGTTTAACTTTTTTAGTAATAATTACGGAGTAGCATTTTAACTCGTGTCATCCACGAAGTGAAATGTTTTTCTTCTTATTTTATAACTTTTCTTCGCTACACCAATTTTTAAATATCAAATAAAATAGAACATCAACTTTAAAAGTTAAAATACCGATAAGGTAGGATATTAATATAATGAAGCAAATTGTTAAAATGTTTTTGCAAGGTAGGAAGAAGTTTAATATGGAGGACTCCGTGAGTGAAAATATAATTAAGATACGGAGTAGGATCACATGAGGTGTATTTCGGCGAGGAAAGCATTTCCCGTGAGTTTCATTTCTTGTTTTCCTCACCCCCCC